ACTGAATTTCTTGTAACTCTTTCTAACTATCTCTTATAATAACGAAAATCAGTTCTTTGCATTTGGAAATGTTTGAGAGGATACGCTTCTGACGGTCACTGAAGTTAGTAAATTAAAATTTGTACCCTAAAATGGATCAAGCAACCATAGATTCTAGTCTTGAATGAGACTTAAGCCTTGATAAATTTTATAACTATATGAAAAGGATTGGTGTCACTCACGTTCAGACCCATCTCAGCGTATGTCTCCATGCCAGTCCAAGACCACGCACGAACTAGAACGCCAGTTTTCGAGATCTTCTGCATTGAATCGTAATGACCAATTGATAACGCCAAAAGATAACTGGACATCAGCGGCGTTTCACCGAATGAAGTTATTGCCCAACCTTTAATTCACATTCTTACTTTATGTTCTCATTCACCAGTCGATCAAAATGTGACTAAAGTGCTAGTGACGAGGTAAAGTCGTTAAAATGTACCTCAAATGAACACTTATAGATATGTTTCAGGCTCGAGATCAGTCATGCGTTTTCGCTGAGGTTTACTTACTCGCTGAAGCTCAGCATAGGTTCAGTCAGAACTTGAAGTCTCAAGTTTATTACAACCATATTGAGCCTGAACAGAATTCTAGTCCAAGGGGTCATATGTTCCTTTATGACCACAACGATCACGTGTAGCAATACCAGCAAGAATGCAACGGATTTTATGATTTGTTTATGCAGAGGATGAGGATTTTCCCGATTTTTCGAAAATTTTTCGAGCAGCTTTCGAGCTGAAGCGGATGATTGTCTTACCTGGCTCAGTTTCGTTACGTTCAATGAGAATATCCGTATGAATTGTATTTGTTAAAACCTTCATATCGGCAGCGTGTTTCACTTTAAGCTGCCATTTTGCTTTAAAGAACGGTTCGTCAAAACACGGCACCAGCGATCGAATGCCGGGACCTGATTCCATGTCCGTTGATAGAATCCATCTGAATTAGGAATATCCACGACATTTAGCAATGTCCATTGATAGAATCTGACTGAACATCTGAACAACTCACAGAAACGAATTCGAAGTCTAAACGAGGCCCAAAATTTCCTTTCTTGAACAACTAAACGGAAAAAATGATGTTGGAGCACTCTCAAGCAAAATGAAGTGCGAAGCCATAGACTTACGCCATTTTGCCATTGAACTCGTAATAATTGA